ATGGTCCCGATAGACCCGAAATCTTCTGGCCCGGCCCATAATGGAACGGCCAACTCGTTCAAAAACCCGCCCATAATTCCCGCACTTTTCTTCCATCTACAAAACTCCTGCACTTTTGACTCTCCACATTTCCGTTTCTGAGCGAATGCAATGGCACATCTCGCGGAGACTTACGCATGCGTTCCCTCCACGGAGCGCGGCCGTGGAATTCTCATCTCCGGCAACCCCAAAACCAACTCCATTCTCTACTGCAACGGGAGATCCGTTCTAATCCGACACCTCGACAGGCCACTCGACGTTACCGTATACGGGGAGCACGGTTACCCTGTCACCGTCGCTCGTTACTCCCCAAACGGGGAGTGGATCGCCTCTGCTGACTCGTCCGGCATTGTCCGCATCTGGGGGACGCACAACGAATTCGTCTTGAAGAATGAATTTAAAGTCCTTACGGGTAGGATCGATGACCTCCAGTGGTCACCCGATATGATGAGGATCGTCGCTTCCGGCGATGGCAAAGGAAAGTCATTTGTTCGCTGTTTCATGTGAGTCCGTAAATTATCATCCTTCGACCTTCAATCTCCCCTTTTATCAATAATTGCATGTGTCTATGGTTCATGACGTTCATGCAGGTGGGATTCAGGAAGTACTGTGGGGGATTTTGATGGGCACTCGCGGCGGGTGTTGAGTTGCGATTTTAAACCAACAAGACCGTTTCGTATTGCAACGTGTGGAGAGGATTTCCTGGTGAATTTTTATGAAGGCCCTCCATTTAAGTTCAAGTTATCTCAGAGGTAGCTTTCTAAATAGGAAATGCATTTTTTTTTTTTTTGTCTGAGTTAGTTTTCAAGAGGAACATAAACTGAAAATTTTGCAACAACAGAGTGATTCTACTGTGTAACGTGGGAAAATCTCACATTGAAAAAGTAGTATGTGTTGCTTAAATATAAGATGAGCTATTCCTTTTTACCAATTAGTTTTAGATTTGATGATTGTTTGGTGAATCGGTGCACATGTCAAATTTTCACATAAGTCAGCATCAATTTCATCTTTTAGTCTTGGGATTGCCATTGAAGTATGTGTGTTGGGGTGTGCAGGGAGCATTCAAATTTCGTTAATTGCATCAGATTTTCCCCAGATGGGAGCAAATTTATAACTGTAAGCTCAGATAAGAAGGGAATATTGTATGATGGGAAGACAGGTGAGAAAATGGGAGAGTTGTCCTCTGAAAATGGTCATACAGGCAGCATTTATGCTGTTAGCTGGAGTCCTGATAGCAAACAGGTATGCAGTTTGTTCAATGTCAATTTAGCTGCCTCAAGTTCATTGCTTCATTTAAAGAATATTGCTAAAATGCAACTATTATTCCTATCTTTACTCTTTCTCAAATTCTTTGACTGCACACTCATCTGTATACCGTGTTATTGATAAAATCAGGTTCTAACAGTGTCTGCTGACAAGTCTGCAAAGGTATGGGATATATTTGATGATGGAAGTGGAACTGTGAATAAAACCTTGGAATGTTCCGGGACGGGTGGAGTGGAAGACATGCTTGTTGGATGTCTGTGGCTGAATGATCATCTCGTTATTGTTTCTCTTGGTGGCACAATCCACTTATTTTCTGCAAGCGATCTTGATAAAACCCCATTATCTTTCTCCGGGCATTTGAAGAATGTGACAACATTAACTGTACTCAATAGCAACCCAAGAACAATGCTGACCGGTAGCTATGATGGAACCATTATTAGATGGATTCAAGGCATTGGATACAGTGGTAAATTAACGAGGAACGATCTTTCTCAAATTAAATGTTTAGCAGCTTTGGAAGGGGAGATAATTCAATCTGGATTTGACAACAAGGTAACTATGCTACATCTATTTTTCAAATTAAAATCCAAACCCAAAAAAAATGCTACTTATCAAGGTCTATATATCTGTTAGATCAGATTCTATACGATGTTAATTCTTCCTAAATACATTATGCATTAAAGCTTTTATGTTCAGCATGTTTCATATCATGATTGTTTTCTTCACAGATATATTGCATCAACTAATTTCAGGTGTGGAGAATTCCTCTGAATGGGACTGAATGCGGGGATCCAGGACAGGTTGATATTGGCAGTCAGCCGAAGGACTTGAGCCATGCCATTGATACCCCTGAATTAGCTTTGGTTTCAATTGATTCAGGAGTTGTCTTGCTTAAGGGGCTGCAAATTGTGTCAAACATCAATCTTGGATTTATTGCGACAGCATCAGCTATCGCCCCTGATGGAAGTGAAGTCATTGTGGGTGGACAGGATGGTAAGCTGCACATATACTCTGTATCAGGTGATTCACTCAAAGAAGAAGCAGTTCTTGAGAAACATAGAGGTGCAATTAGTGTCGTACGATATTCTCCAGATGTCTCTATGTTCGCTTCGGCTGATCTCAATCGTGAAGCTGTTGTCTGGGATCGTGTCTCCAGAGAGGTATCCAACTTAATAATAGTTCTGTTAATTACTCTTTGGCCTCTTTCTTTTACCTTTCCTTTCCTCTTTGTTTTATTCCTTCGGAAATTCAGTGGATTATCTATTTTTTCATGGATGTCTTGCAGGTAAAGCTTAATAACATGTTATATCATACTGCTCGCATAAACTGTCTTGCTTGGTCCCCTGATAGCTCTATGGTGGCCACTGGTTCACTAGACACAGCTGTCGTCATATATGAAATTGGGAAGCCTCCTTCAAGTCGCATAACAATAAACAACGCTCACCCCGGTGGAGTTTATGGTGTGGCTTTTGCTGATGAATGCAGTCTGGTCAGTTCAGGAGAAGATGCTTGTATCCGTCTGTGGAAGATAGCACCTCAATAAGAGAAGGACCGTGTTGAAAATTGCATAACGCAATGCAGGTTAGAGCTTTGAAGCTTGGTGAATGTGCATCCATCAGTTTTCTCAAGTAAGGTGTTTATTGCTTTGCATGAATTATAGTGACAGAAACAGGAAAAATATATCTTTGAAGAAACCAATTATTGGTAAAATATAAGATACCATTGCAAAAAGCAGAAAACTAGGAATCAGAAGGGGAAATTACATTGTCTGGCCTACACGCACACCTGGCTTTAAAGCCAAAAGGTTCTTTCTTGCCCCTTTTTTCCAGTCTAGAGGCAAGAGAAATGTTGTGGATAACATATACATTTATTGGTAAAAGAATATGACGCTAAATCACGATTGACATTCTGATGCTTAATTCCAACACATCAAAACTTATTTTCCTATATACAAATACGATGGAAGCATGTAATTTTCCACATGTTTGTTAACAATTACGGTTCCATGGTTGTGCTACACAGGACACTACAACAACCATTTCCAGGGTGGTGTCAAAGGAAATGAAAGCAAAACTACTAGTAAGCAGTTGCAACTTGTTGGGGAATTTTACTTCTGAGCTTTGTTTTGAAGTGTGTTGTTTCTGCTTGTTTAGTTAAATGCAGTTTCCTATCACATTTCAGAAGGAAGTGTTTATGTCAGTTACACAGTTGTGAAGGGTGATTTCTAGTCAGATTACCTTACAATGTTCAGGTTAAACAGGTCCCTTAGCTTTGGTATGGATTCTCAATTTGGTCCTTAAACTAAATATTTCTATTTTAGTCTCTAAAGTTTTAAACATAGACCCATCAACAGCATGAATTTGAATTTGAACCCATATACTTGCTGAGATCGGAGAAGGTAAGGATTAAGGAAAGAAGGCTAAATTTTGCATTGAGTAGTTTTATTTTGTAGAAAGAGTATAAAATGGAGAAATGGATGCATGTCTTTTGGGAGCAATGGAAGAAGGAAGAAAGTGATTTAACACTTGGGTATTTGCAGTTCTCTCGGTAGAGGTGGAACACAACCAAAACTTGATAATTGCGAAACATTCACCTAAAAATGCAAGCGTATATTATCGTATCAAGTAATAAAGAATGAGTAAAGTATCGTTTCCACAAGGATTAATGGTGAAAAATTCTACTAAGTACCTAAATTATGTTAGTACTAATTTTATCTAACCATCAAAAACTCTTGATGTAAAAGCAAATTTCTTAAACTAAACTAACGAAAATAACTAATTCTTAAAAATGATGGTTTAACCTCTATAAAAAGTTCAAGGTTATGTCTACTCACCTACACAATCCATTCGCATTCAATTCACCCAAATCTTGATCATTCTGCTCTCTTGAATCATGTCTAAGAATCCTTGAGCTTTCACTGATCCTCTTTCAAGTGACAGTAAATTATCCCAACCCACCTACTTATATATTTTTATATGTAGTGCAGTGAATTGAAACTAAAATTCAAGTGCAATGATTCTTCTCTCAAGAACACATCAATTCTAAGAGTATATTTCTATCTCCTCAAATTAATGGCATTCACTTGGTGGTCTCATTTAACTATTCCTTCTCAGTTCAAGTTAAACATCCATACATCTTGTTAATTGGCCAATTCAACAAGAAAACAATCTACAAATGAAATACTAATTTAAAATGAAGCAAAATAGATCAGGCTCTGACTTCTCAAAATGAAAACGTAATGATTCGGATTTCAACATAACCCCAAGTACAAAATTACTCCATAATCAAAGATAGAAAACAAACAATAGTATTGGAATTCATTAAAACTAAAATAGAAAAGTAGAACTTAACACAGGTTTTCTATGGGTACAAGGAAAGAAATTACTAATATGAATTTGGAAGAAGTTTGCCCATTGAATGTTGCTTATGAGAAAGATAAAAAAAAAAAAAATGTAGATTTTTTCTCCCTCCTTGTTTTGCCGACTGTTCTACTCTCTTTTTTCAGCATCTAGAAGACAATTTTCCTTTGAGAGTTTCTTCCCCCTTTTGCTCCACTTCTTATTTTCACTTTAAAAACTACCCACTAACTCCAAAACTACCCTGCTATCTTTTGTGCCATGAAATTTGATGATGTGGCTCTTAATATTTGAAGTTGGTTTGAGTTAAAGCAAGCTCGAACTAGAATCTTCAACCCTTCAAATTTTCAATTTTGTTAGTAGAGCCTCCAACTTTTCAAAAATTGCTGTTTTAGCCCTCACCTAAGAGAAAACAATCAAATTATGTAAAATCACAAAGAATCTCACATAAATAGTATAGTGATCTTAAATTTAAGATTAGATTGACCTATAAAACTGCATAAAAATTGGTCTCATCAAATTCCCCCAAACTTAAAAAGAAAATGAATTTTAAGAACTAAAGTTAACATGGATGGGATGATTTGAACTTATATATCATGACACAACAATCAATGCAATGCACATTTTAATCTAAGATTAAAGGATTGAAGAAGTTTAGGTTTTGACTCAATTGTTAATGACATCCCATGGTGAAAAACCAAGAATTACATGTGAACCTTTCATAAAATAAATGCTTGCACCCTTGATCAATTTATACAGACCACTGTTGGCAAAATGCCAAAATAGCTCTTAAATGAACTACCATAAGCTTGCTTTTCATATCATCTCTCCACTAATGTAGGCATAAGCAATTTTCAAAGCTCAAAAGGACTTTATCAGGGGTTGAAATGTTAGGCTTGGGTGTTGGTTAATCAAATGAAAAGGAAAGGATTTACAACATAAGAGAGCTTCACAACAAAACTACCATGAGCATAGGAGATCAAACTTTGTGTTTCTACTTCTTCTTCTTTTTTTTTTTTTTCAAATTGAAAATAGCAACTTCAAATACACATAGCTAGATAAGCCACAGTAACTCTTTTTTTTTTGTTTGGATTGAAACACTTCCATATATGTACAAAGAAGTATACTCTCATTCCCCAAATCTTACTTTCTACAACATAACTAACAATCTAACTTCAGTATTCACTCTCCTAATTTCACTCTACATAATTTCATTGTGAAATCTCTTAAAAAGGGTGAGGTAGAATATTTTCTTGTTGATCAGGTTAGGATGATGTAGTTACCATGAAAGAAAAGGCTAATGAACTTTGGCTCAAAGGGGTAACTAGGGATAAAATTTTACAAGGTAAGCTTGAAAGGCTCAAACTATCTAACAATGGCCTAAATCATTTCTTTGTTAATTGCAATGCCTAGGATTTTGCCTCAAGAGATAATCAAGCAAGTTCTAGAGTTCAAAGAATTGAAATCATTATGCATACCACTGTATCCACATAAATCTTTTCAAAGTATCCATAACATCACATTTGATCTAGGTTGCTCATGCTTCCTTAATTTTCAACCATAGGATGAAATTAACAAACGACTCAAATTCCAAACAAAAACAATATGATATGCATAACATCACATTTCTCTCAATCATGCATCATATTAATCAATGCTGTTAACATATATGAAAAAAAAAGAAGCAAAAAACCAATAAACAGCACAGAATGATAAACATAAAACAACATAATGCAACCATTTCACAATTTCAATTCCCTTCCCCCAAACTTAAAACTAACATTGTCCTTAATGTTATTAAAAAGAAGGAAAAACAAAAACTTTCCTAAATTGTCCAACGAGTATGATTATAATGATGGCAGCCATAAACTTCAATGCTTCTCCCCCAACTTAGTTAGAAACCTGTCAAAATAAAAAAATACAAACAACAACACAACAGAAAAGAACATGGGTTGCCTCCCAAGTAGCGCTTGTTTTATAGTCTACAACCAGACTCCTGTCCTTGAAGTCACGGATTGGCAAGAATGATGGAGATTACTTGTCTCCCAAAGTCAGCTTCCATGTACCACTTCAACCTTTGGTCATTCACCTTGAATGATTGTCCATTGTTCTCCACCTCTATTACGCCATAAGGGAAGACTTTCTTAACAACAAAAGGACCAAACCACCTCGATTTTAATTTTCTAGGAAACAACTCGAATCTGGAGTTAAACAATAGAACATTTTGTCTAGGAACAAATTCTCTTTGTAAATTTTTTCTGCCATGCCATTTCTTTGTTCTCTCCTTATAGATTCTAGCATTCTCATAGGCATCTTGTCTAATTTCATCAAGCTCATTAAGTTGTAGCAGCCTTTTACCTTCTATCTCCTGAAAATCAAAGTTCAACTTCTTGATGGCCCAATATGCTTTATGCTCTACCTCCACTAGTAAGTGACATGCCTTACCATACACCAACCTGCATGGACACATTTTAATCGGTGTTTTATATGCAGTTCTATAAGCCCAAAGAGCATCATCTAACTTGAGTGACCAATCTTTCCTCGATGCATTCACAATTTTCTCCAAGATGTTTTTAATTTCCTATTTGATGTCTCCACTTGCTCACTGGCTTAAGGATGATATGCAGTAGCAACCTTATGTGTGATCCCATATTTAGCCATTAATGCATTCACGACTTTATTGCAAAAATGTGATCCTTCATCACTAATGATAGCTCTAGGCATACCAAAACGAGAAAATATATTTTTCCTCAAGAATCTAACCACAACCTTGGCATCATTAGTTGGCACAGCAATTGCTTCAACCCATTCAGAAACATAATCCATGGCCATAAGAATGTACCGGTTGCCATAAGATGATGGGAATGTTCCCATGAAATCTATACCCCACACGTCAAAAAGCTCCACTTCCAGAATGCTATTCAATGGCATCTGATGATGGTTGGAAATATTTCCCACTCTTTGACATCTATCACACTTTTCAACAAATTCCTTAGCATCCTTGAAAATTGTTGGCCAAAACATTCCAGATTGTAAAATTTTTGTTACTGTCTTATTTACTCCAAAATGACCTTCATAAGCAGTAGAATGACAGTGTTCTAACACCCCTTACATCTCTTTTTTTGGAA